GCTGTTGATTTTTCAATCACTGAAAACATTTAATTATTAGGACATTTATCTTATGTATAGAAAGAATTTCAAAAGATATTAACAAATATAGATTAAGAAGTATTAGAATACAAAATTTTATTTTAGAAATTATGTTCTGTTTTATTTATAAGAATTAATATATGTGATTTAGGTTCGACATGCAATTTAAGCTGTGGTTGCTGCAAACAAAAAAATAATAATGGTAATATAAATAATGTAGCATTAAGAGAAATTAAAACATAAATCAAGATAAATTTTTTTTAGACAAAGCTGCGAAAAATATATCGTCTCAGAATTATTTAATACGAAGTATGATTGTTGATGTACTATCTGAAATAAAAGAAATTAAGTTACAACTAAAAAATGATCAGCAAATAAATCTCCAAAACGAAGAACAAATTTCAATATTTATCAACAATGAGCTAAATTTTCCACTTCAGACAGAAGAAGATCTTCAGATAGCGGAGCGTCTTCTAGAAGATGAAGCTGAAACTACTAAAGAGGTAATTAAAGTTTAGCTTAAAGGCACTATATGAATGCATATTTTCTTCATTTAAATATGTGAATTACTTAAAAAATTATCATATATATGGTATTATAAATATTATATGGTATTTCTAATTTATCTTGAAATAGAAAAGAATTGAACCGATGTTAATATTTTTTCACTGTAACTTGTACAAGAAACATGTTCCTTCAGTTTGTACGATCATGCAATACAATTTACATTATTCTTACAATTAACATAATTTAAAAACTTTTCTATAAAAAATATTTTTTGTTTAATTATATGTAATTTATTGTTTCTTTAATATAACGTGTAATTTAACATTTATTTTTTAGACAAATGAGTTACAAGGATTAGGAGGCAACAATGGTTATGAATTTATTAGAAGAGTTTTAACCATGATATTAACAAATAAACTTGCTAATGATTATAGTTTCTTTGGAAGAAAGAAAAAGAAATCATTCTGTGATCTAAATATATGCAAAGTCGTAATAAGTAAGTACTGGGAATTTGTCAATAGATTTCTTATTCGAAATTGCTTGAAAATCCACACGGACTTTCCGGACAACACAATATATTTGTAATAATAGCTTTTTAACGAACACTTTTATGAATCAGTAATTTTCAACGTTTATATTAGGATGTCATATTAAGTGTATTTTAAATGCATATCTCGTGAATTTATTATATATTTAATTATAAAAAATTAATATTTTTGAATGCTATAATATAATAACATCTGATTATATAGGTAATAAATGTTAATTTTTTAAATGTTACTATTTTGTTATAAATTAGTAAGAAACAATAACATCAAGCTACACAAATACTAACAATAAGATTATAATGTTCTTTTTACCTTTGTAAGATTTTTATCATGGTTATGTATTTAAAATATTAATGATAATTTATTCTAGATGCGGCCAAAAAGGGAAAATATTGTAACGATACGAAAGAAGTTGAGAAAAATATTGCAGGATGGCTGCGTAGAGCTGCAGAAAGAGGGAAAATAAGAATGTAATATACACTTTGTGAGATATAAATAAGAAAATAATCTGGTGAGAGAAAAATAATTATATACGTATGAAGGAAAATATTATGTTGAGAAACAAAAAAAATTCATATTATTATTAATACCAAAGAAAATTAATTTTATTTTTGTATTTTACAAATATGTGGTATA